AAGAACCCAGAACTCGGAATGCTCGGCAGATCTGGGGGGATCTGAGAGTCTGCATTCTGAACAAGGGGCTGCTGACACTGCAGGTGCAGAGGCCACCCTTTAAGTAGCAAGGGACTTGTCTAGGGCCAGGTTTCTCTTTAAAGAGCCAGAGAGCAAATACTTTAGTTAGCCTCTGGGACCCTGTGATGTCTGTCCAGTCGCTCAGCCCTGCAGCTATAGCACCTAAGAGGCCATGGTGTGCCAACACACATGCTGGGTCCGGTAAAGCCTTTTTTTTTTTGAGTTGGAGTCTCACTCTTTCACCCAGACTGGAGTGCAGTGGCCGCTCCCGGCCACCGCAGCCTTGACCTGCTGGGCTCCGGCGATCCTTCCGCCTCAGCCTTCCAAGTAGCTGGAACTACAGGTGCGCGCTACCACACCTGGCTAATTTTTTGTTTTATTGTAGAAATGAGGTCTCACCAAGTTGCCCAGGCGGGTCTCAAACCCGCAGGCTCAGGCAATTCACTCACCTCAGCCTCCCAAGGCGCGGGATTACAGGCTGAGCCACCGAGCTGGGCAGGTAAAGCATATCTACAAACAACAGCCGGCTGGGTTGGCCTGCCAGTGTCATTCGCTGACTCCTGGGCTAGCCCACTCAGCTGGGCCGTTGATGGATTTATTTGGTACAGTTATTCCGAGATAGGACCCATTTCCCTGCTTCTCACATTCATGCAACTGTATCTAAATTAGTGAAACTAAAACTGAAAGTTCTCTGTCTTCTAGCACCCACCTCACTGTTCCATCTTCCATGCCATTCCATCCCCACCCACTTCATCCACCTAAAATTGATCCGCTCAACCCATCTTCCACTCACAGAGAGTCTCACCGAAAGGCCAGTGACAGTTACCCTTTTCTTCTCAGTAGCCACCCAGGAGAGGAGACAGCAAGGCAGCACAATGGGAGGACCCCAGGACACACGCCTGCTGTGTGAGAACGTCGGGGCAGGATGGGGGTGAGGGCAGGCTTCCATAAGAGGGAACAGACAGAGGTCTCCCGCTGAGCTTCAGCAGGAAGCACAGACTTTCAGCTCCTCGATCCCATGCAGAGCATTATCTCCTGTCCCCTCCCTCAAGGCCACCAGAGACCTGAGGAGGGACTCAGAGGCAGCTGCACTGCGGGGAAGTGGAAGCCTATGGCTCATCAGGGCAGGCTGCGTGAAGGGGAAGGGAATGGAGAAGAAACTATCATTGAATGAGCACCCACTGTTTGGTGGGTACCATGATAGACGTTCCAGGGACTTGAAAAACTCAAATACCTACAAGGACCAGTCAGGCAACATAAGATATGCGACACCAGGCACGGTGGCTCACGCCTGCCAAACCAGCCCTTTGGGAGGTCGAGGCAAGACTGCCTGAGTCCAGGGGTTTGAGAACAACCTGGGCAACACGGCGAGACACTGTCTCTAAAATAAATCAAGAAAAATTAGCCGGGCATGGTGGTGCACACCTGTGGTTCCAGCTACTTGGAAGGCTGAGGTTGAAGGATCACCTGAGACCAGCAGATTGAGTTTGTGGTGGCTATGAGTGTGCCACTGTACTCCAACCTGGGCGACGGAGTGAGACTCCAACTCAAAAAAAGAGAAAAAAAGGTATGTGACGTGTGCCAAGAGTAAGGCAATAAGGCATGGTGGGGACCAAGACAAACTGGACACAGTCTCTATCTAAGGGAACTCAAATTCCATTTCCGAAATGCACTATTCAGGCCAAAATATTCATAGGCCACCCTGGTTTATCTGCTCCTCCCACAATGAGGTAGGTGTAAAGGGGCTTCTGCCGGAGACCCCTCGTCAACTGGTAAAAAGAGACCTGTCAAAGGGGCAGGGTGTGAAGAAACAACGACAGTGAAGGAATGCTTCTCTGATTTCCAGCTCCCAGGGCAGAGGCCGGGCGGTTGTTCCCTTAGCCCCGTCATACAGAGAATCTGGCACCTGGAGCTGCCACTTGGAGATGATTCACGGGAGATGCGTGGGTGGCAGAGATGCTGATCACAGAGGCTCCAAAGAAGTGGGGCTCCCTGGGGGGGGGGGACTAGCTGTGGGAGGAGAGACAGACCTGGAGCTCAGGCCCAGTGCAGGGTCCCCAGGAGCACCCCAGAAGCTGGAAGGAGGAGCTGGGACCAGGGTGCTCACAACAAGAGGAATGCCATCCAGCTGGAGGGGCCCCCTCCGCTCAGCACCACTAGACCCCAGTCTGGCTCCTGAGGAAGGAAAGCGCCCAGGTTGCCAGGGCCCAGCCCAGGCCAGGAAGCATATCTCTCCTTTGCCAACAATGGAAGAGGAATCGGAGAGATGCCTCAATCTACCTTCACACAGAACAGAACAGAACAGAACACAGGCACCACAGCGTAGCAAGCAACACTGGCTGCAAGAAGACACTTCAGCTTGACTTCCATCTCTGGCTTAGCTACTTATTCAAACCCTTACTTATTCCACTGAAAGCAGCTTTGCCATCTAAATAAAGTGAGTAACAAAAGCAGCATCATCCAGCAATTAGCAGCTAGGGGTATTTAAGCAAGCTGCTGTTAATTGTGCTAGGTCTTTGTTTTCTCAAGGGAGAAAAAAAGCCAGAGGCCACTGCGACTTCCCAGGTTCTCTTGAAGTGCAGTGAACGTCTGTTGTCCTCATAAAGTGCTGGGCAGGTAATAGCTGTCAGCACTATGACCGATAACTGAGATGGCAATAAGGGTCCACAGGGATGGTTGGGCGGAAAGAGAACAGAGCAGCAAGTGGAGAAAGGGAACCATGGGCACGGGTGAGCGTGGGCATGCCCTCAGCACTTCCTGAACCTTCCTAGCCACTTGCACCACAGTGGTCAGCACTGAGTTGATGTAGAGTTGCTGCAGGGGACAGCAGAACTCAGAAGCCAAGGAGGACATGGATGGGGGACTCTCGGGGCTTCCAGAACCAGGAGCCACAGGCCAGGCAGGCAGGGGTTGAGGAGGGGTCTGGTCACCTGGTACGTGGGCATGGCTGGCCCCTCCTCCTGGAAGACCTCGGTGTCACATCGGCCCGAGATGATTTCCTCAGCATCTGCTTTGTCCAGGCCTTGGGTCAGCAGGCTTGATGTCTCCATGATTGGCACGGCTGCCTCGTACCCCAACAGCTAAGAGGAGGGGACCAGGCTGGAGGCAGGAGTGGCAGCGGCACCACGCTGGACTCACACACATGCACACATGCATGCACGTACCCGCCCCCACAACCCCATCCATACCAAACCACACACACCACACCAGGAACGGTCTGCACTGGGTGTCGTGGGCTTACTGGGGAAAAACGCTCAGGTGGAAGGTGGGAGGGACAAGGGGCGGCAGAGGTGGGAGGGGTAGGGAGAGTCCCCATGAGCATGCTCAGGAATCGCGGGAAGGGCCACTGTGGAGTGGGGTCTCGCCTCCCACTTGTCGGGCCCTGGGGTCTTGATGACATGTCAAAACTGTCTTGCACTCAGCATGGTCTCGCACTGTGGACACTGGTCCTGCGGCCCTTCCAGTCACATGAACCCTCTGGTCCAGGGCTGGCCTCCTGCTGATAGGGCCTTAGTGGAACCATGGCGATGACTGCCCCTGGATGGAGTCCAGCACGGGCAGCACCCCTGCAGTGCTGCCCACACTGCTCCTGCTGGTCACCGGTGGCCCTCTGGGAACCCGGTGAGCTCCCAGGCCCCTCTGCAGGCACCTGACTCTGGCCACCTCTGCCTGGAAGAGGAGGATCTGAGGCTCATCACCCTTGCCCTCTCCTTGGGAATACCTGGGGCCTGGCAGGCAGGACAACACCCAGGGCAGCGAAAGGACCAGGATGCCTCAGGAGGCCAGAGGTCAGGGTCCCAGGTCAACAGAAGTTAGAGGACCTGGCCTGGCTTGGTCACATGCTCAGCAGTCTTCCTGACCCAATGGTCCCTCAGAAAGGAAGGCAATAGAGGCTTCTGGGTGCAGGTGTGCACGAGATATTAAAAGGAAATGCCACAGAAATAGAAACACCAGCTGAGCATAGTGGCTCACGCCTGTCACTCCAGCACTTTGGGAAGCTGAGGTGAGAGGACTGCCTGAGCCCAGGGGTTTGAGACTGGCCTGGCAACTTAAGGAGAGCTTGTCTCTACAATAAATCAAAAACAATTAGCTAGGTGTAGTGGTGTGAACCTGTAGTTCCAGCTACTTGGAAGGCTGAGGCGGAAGGATCGTGGCAGCCCGGCAGGTGGAGGCTGCGGTGGCCGCGAGCATGCCATTGCATTCCAGCCTGGGCGACAGAGTGAGACTCCGATTCAAAAAAGGAGAAAAAAATAGAAATAGAAACACAAATAGAAATACCGCACTGAGAACTAGGAACCAAAGACTGCCCCCAGTGCCGCGGCCAGCACCGACTTATACGAACACCACACTTTTCACATGCAGCCTCCCATTGGACACGTCAGCACCGGGAAGCCCGCACCGACACTGCTCCCTCGTTCTTCCAGACGATGGGCAGACGGCAGAAAAGCTGGGCTGCCGCTGGGGATCACACGGCTGCACACGCTGGGGCTCGCAGCCAGGCTCTCGCCGGGGCTTTGGCTGCCACAGCGTGAGATCATTTTCGGACGAACGTGACCGCGGGTGGCCGCGGCGCCCGTGCGTAAGCGCCCCTGGCCTGAAGGCCCTCCAACGCCGCCTCAGGGACCTCACGCCCGCTCCTCGCGTCTCCAAAGCCGCCCGGCAGCGCGGGGAGCGCCGGGGCCCTCGCCGCGCGTCCCCTGCCGCCGGTCCGACAGCCCCCCGTCCGCCCGAACCCCCGCGCAGAGAACGCCCCGTAAGTCCCTGCCGAAGGGGGAAGGGAGCGCGGGAGCGCGGCGCCTGCACCGGGCCTGGATGGGGAGGCCCGAAGGCTGACGCATCCGCCGGCGAGGGTGAGGGTGAAGCCGG